TTTTTTTTTTTTTTTTTTTTTTACAGATTTTAGAGAGAGAAGGTGTGTGTGTGTATGTGTGTGTGTGTAAACACTGATTTGTTGTTCCACTTATTTATGCATTTATTGGTTGATTCTTGTATGGGCCCTGATGAGGACTGAACCTGCGATCTTGGTGTATCAGGACCCTGGTCAAGCAACTGAGCTACTCAGCCAGGGTCAAAATAATTGTTTCTTGGTCCTCACTTTCATCTTTGGAAACTCCAGTTACACTTATATGATGCTAATTGATGTCTCATAGCTCACTGATGTGCTATTTTTAATTTTTTTTTCTATTTTATTTTGTATTGTTTCATTGCTATGTCTTCAAGTCCACTAATCATTTTCTCTGTAGTATCTAATCAATTAATTCCAATATCTTTATCTTAGACATTGTAGTTTTTCTCCTTAGAAGTTTAATTTGGATCTCTTTTTTATGATTTTAAGTTTTTTCAGTGTTATTTTGACACAACTGACAAAATTGTAGGATATTTAGATTGTACAACCTGATGATTTGATATACTTTGTGAGAGAATTCCCCCCACTACATTAACACATGATTTGTATCTTTTTCTCTGGCTAAGTGGCTCAGTTGGTTGGAGCAGGGTACCGTACACCAAAAGGTGGCAGCTTTGATTCCTGATGAGGGCACATACCTAGGTTGCGGGTTTGATCCCTGGTCAGGGCCTATATGGGGAGCAACTGATCGATGTTTCTCTCACATCAATGTTTTTTTTTTTTTTCTCCCTCCCCCTTCTCTAAAATCATTTAAAAAGAAAAAACATATCCTTGGGTTAGGATTAAAAAATATATATATAATTTGTATCTTTTTTATATCTTCACTCTTAAATATTTCAACATATGGATTAAATTCATAGTACTTTTTAATGTTCGTGTTTACTAATGCTAGTATCTTTGTCAGTCTTGGGTTGGTTTCTACTGGTTCACTCATTATTGTATGTATTTTCCTGGTTCTCTGCATGCCTTGTAATTTTGGTTGGATGCTAAGCATTGTGAATTTTATGTTATTGGATGTTTGATGTTTTGTATTTCTATAAATATTCTTGAGCTTTGTTCTGGGACACAGTTGCATGTAAACAGTTTTATCTTTTCAGGACTTGTGTTTAAGATATGTTGGGCAGAAGAATTTCGAAGATGGCAGCGGATTAAGTGGAAGCTACACTGACACTCTCCCAGGACCAACCTGGAATTACAACTAAAATATAGAAAAACCATCCTGAATAATCAACTGCAACTGAACGCCTTCAGTTGGAGAGCACCCTCATAACCAAGGAGGAAAAGTGGAGACCACACAGA